AAAAAAAAAAAAAAAAAAATCAGAAGAGAAAGAGCAGGGCTCAGAAAATAAGAAGAGGGACCACAGTTAAAGAACAAGGATGGAAAAATAAAGGAACTGAGTGTCTTCTTAGCAAGAAGGGCTCTAGAGGGCCAGGGGAACAACAGAGAAAACTGCAAAGTGGGAGTGAGGCCTGGGAGAAATCAAGCCAGAGATTAGGACTGTCAAGAGGGCCCTTGTTCCCACCATCCTTAACACTCACGCCTCTCTCAGATCCTCAGGCACAGCCATGGTAACCTTGAAGAAGCTGCCTTTGGTTGCAAGGGGATTGGGATTAACTGGCCGAAGTCGCTCCAGGGTAACAATTTCATTGTAGGTGGCATCACAGGCAGCATATTCAATGACATAGAACTGGCATATGGTAAAAAAGGAGAAGTTGTGGATGACCTGAGCAACTTTCTATGAATAAAATATTTGTTTCAGTAGTTCTCCAAAGGCATTCCCAGTCACTCACATCTCCCTTCATCATCCGCACCCGGGCCAGCCACCAGCCACAAGGTTCCTGTTCATTGGCTCGGGAATAAACCTAAAGAAAAGTAGAGAATCAAAGAGATATTGAAGACCATCCAAAAGCATCAAGAAAAGAGATAAGAAGGCCGGGCGCAGTGGCTCACACCTATAATCTCAGCAATTTGGGAGGCCGAGGACAAAGGATTGCTTATGCCCAGGAGTTCAAGACCAGCCTGGGCAACATAAAGAATAGAATAAGCATTAAGATATTTGGGGCTGCTGGGCACAGTGGCTCACGCTTATAATCCCAGCACTTTAGGAGGCTGAGATGGGAGAATCTCTTAAGCACAGAAGTTCAAGAACAGTCTAGACAACCTAGTGAGACCCCATCTCTACCATTTAAAAAAAAAAAAAAAAAAAAAAAAAAGGCTGAGCACATTGGCTCATGCCTGTAATCCCAGCATTTTGGGAGGTGGAGGCAGGCAGATCACCTGAGCTCATGAGTTCAAGATCAGCATGGCCAACACGGTAAAACCCCACCTCTACTAAAAATACAAAAATTAGCCAGGTATGGTGGCACATGCCTATACTCCCAGCTACTCAGGTGGCTGAGGCAGGAGAATCCCTTGAACCTAGGATGCAGAGTTGCAGTGAGCCGAGATCACACCACTGCACTCCAACCTGAGTGACAGAGCAAGACTCTGTCTCAAAAAGAAAAAAAAGAGGCAGTTGTGGTGCATGCCTGTAGTCCTAACTAAGCAAGAGGCTGAGATGGGAGGATCACTTGAGCCTGGGAGGTCGAAATTGCACTGAGCTGTAATTGTGCCACTGCACTCTGGCATGGGCAACAGAATGAAAACTTGGCCAGACGGCCAGGTGCGGTGTCTCATGCCTATAATCCCAGCACTTTGGGTGGCTAAAGTGGGCAGATTCAGCTGAGGTTGGGAGTTGGAGAATAGTCTGACCAACATAGTAAAACCCCATCTCTACTGAAAATGCAAAAAATTAGCCAGGCGTGGTGGCAGGCGAGTGTAATCTCAGCTACTCAGGACACTGAGGCAGGAGAAGTGCTTGAACCCAGAAGGTGGAGGTGGCAGTGAGCCGAAATTGCGCCACTGCACTCTAGCCTAGGTGACAGAGCCAGGCTCTGCCTCGGA